ATAATAATTCATTTGAATCTCATGCTATTACAGAAACAGCTCCTATGAAACTTCATGTTGTAGTAATTTATCGCCCTCCTGGTCAACTGGGCACCTTTATAGAGGAGCTTGACTTAATTTACACACACAATTGTATTGCTGACAACATTTTCGTAAAACCCTTACACATCTGTGATCATTTCTTTATAACATTTATCCTACATCCTGCTACCTGTGTGCCACCAACCCTTCTACCAGTTACTTTTATGAGAAAACTACGCTTCCTTTCACCCTCCCATCCTTCCTCTGTAGTGCCTTCCTCTCTTCCCTCATCCACCCATTTCTCATCTCTGGATGTGAATGCAGCAACTGACACTTTATGCTCCACTTTAACTTATTGTCTAGACAATATATGTCCTCTCTCCTCCAGGCCAGCATGCGCTACCCTTTCTAACCCCTTGGCTGTCAGATGTTCTTTGTGAACATCATCCCAATCTCAGGGTAGCAGAGAAAAAATGGCACAAATCAAAAGATCTGTCAGACCTGAGTATGTATCAGTCTTTGCTTTCATCTTTCTCTGCTGAAGTACATACTACCAAATCTTCATATTTCCACAAGATCAACAGCACTTCAGACACACGTAATCACTTCAAAACATTAAATTCTCTCCTTTGTCCCCCTCCACCACCTCTTTAACAGCTGATGATTTTGCCACATTCTTCACAGACAAAACCATCAGCAGTCAGTTCTCCGCTCCATACACAGGAACTCAAACCAACCACATCTCTTTCTGTCCCCTCACTGAGGCAAAAGTTTCAAAACTTCTCCTCTCCAGCCATCCTACAACCTGCCCTCTAGACCCAATCCCCTCACACATTCTCCAAGCAATTTCTCATACACCCTTACCAGCACTCATATATATCATCAAAACATCAATTCTCACAGGTATTTTCCATAACGCAGTCAAGCAGGCTTGGGTAATCCCACCACTCAAAAAACCTACATTAAACACTTTACTTGTAGATAGCTACAGACCTGTCTGTCTCCTTCCATTCAAAGTGAAAAAAACTTGAACGAGTTGTTCTCAACCAGGTATCACTTTTATTCTTTTACAGAATAACCAACTGGACATTAACCAGTCAGGTTTCAGAAGTGGCCATTTAACTGAGACTGCATTATTGTCAGTCACCGAAGCCTTGCGGATTGCGAAAGCTGATTCCAAATCATCAGTTCTCATTCTGCTGGATCTATCTGCCGCTTTTGACACTGTGGATCATCAGATCCTCCTGTCCACCCTCTCATCACAGGGATTCCACTTCACTGGTTTGAATCCTACCTCACAGGTAGGTCTTTCAAGGTGGCCTGGGGAGGCGAGGTATCCAAAGCACATCAACTGTTCACTGGGGTTCTTCAGGGATCAGTTCTTTGACCCCTCCTCTTCTCCATATACACTACATCACTGGGACCCATCATACAGGCACATGGTTTCTCCTACCATTGCTATGCTAAAGACACACAGCTCTATCTTTCCTTTCAACCAGATGATTCAATGGTATAGCTGCATGGATCTCAGAATGCCTGGCAGACATCTCGACATGGATGAAAGAACATCACCTACAGTTCAACCTGGCAAAGACTGAGCTTCTCGTCTTCCCTGCCACTCTGACTCTACAGCATGATTTCATCATCCAGCTAGGTTCATCAACAATTACCCCATCAAGTTCAGTCAGAAATCTTGGTGTAATCTTTGATGACCAGCTGACTTTCAAAGACCACATTGCAAAAACTACTTGATCATGCAGGTTTGCATTGCACAACATCAGAACAGACTACTAGCAATATTACCACCATTGGGTGGCCCATTAGACTACTAGCAGCTAAATTGGCACCCCCTCCTTGATGAAACTGTGCATTGGCTACTCGTAACCTTTGTACTTCCTCGTGTAAAGCAAAAAGTTCCTCCTATTCCCTTTCCACACTCATATTTAAATTTAAAAAAGAAAGAGAAAAAACAAAAACAAATTATTTGCAGTCACTGGCCTCTGGGTCCCCGCATGGTATGTCTGGGCAGTCACTCCTTTTCTGTTATCCCATGCCAGCCACTGTTTCTATTTCACCAATCATACAACAAAATAATACACAACAGTTAATATCCCATTAAAACCCTGCCGACTACGCCAAAAATGTAGTATCGAAAGTATACGTTGACTACACCACCTCCTAATATAGGCAGGAGGAGCCTCCACCAATCACAATACTCTATTACAAAGTGTCAAAGTATCACAATTTTATTGTCCTAGCATGGACCATCAAAGATTAAACCACCAAATAAAACATCTGTGTTGGTGTTTTAATAAAATCCATAAAAGTAGGAACTTGCTCTTCTCAAGATTGCAAGAAGGGTTGGGCCTGCTCTCATGCACTGCCATCTGTAAGGGACAGAAAAAGAGAAAAAAAATAAAACCCACAGCATGCACCCCAAACTCAAAAAACAACCTTTATTCACCACTGCAGTGCCAACCATCTGATACACACCACACAGCTCATGCCACACCACCTGGATCACCTACACCAGAGGTGTCAATGCAGAGTCAGCACTGTACAAAACCACACAGCACACTGTAACAAACAAGAGGGGAGCAATACAACACAGATAACAAAAGACAAATAACACAAACGATATTTAATAATCAAATGAAATCAAATATCTAATAAAAAAATATATATATATAACACACCCCCAAAATAAAACTTAAATACACAAGAAACAGTGAGTGGTCTGCCCTTTAGTGAAAGTACACTGCAGTAAACCACAGTTACCAAATCTTGGTGCTCAATCCCCAAACTAAACTCTGAATACAGAAGGAATACGGTTATTCTGCGCTTATACACAGCGATCAGCCCATACGAGGTACCGCAACAGTAAATACTTGTCTGCCCCAATTCCCCCACAGTGAGTGGAAACACCGTCAATAAATCACCCTGTGTGGAAAGGTCTAAGAGGGAAAAAAAGGCTGCACATTGAGCACAACTTAAGTAACAAAGTAAACTCACCATACATTGATGTGACCGCTATTTATGCCTTCTTAGTCATTTGACTACTTATACCTGATGCTCATTACAAGCTATACCCCTCCCACAATTATTTTCAAGAATTATGAATGTTTGAGGTGGTTATTAATGATTATTAATGCCTATTCCGTCTAACCTGAACAAAACTTGACTTTCATAAAAAGATCAAAATATTTGATTCTGTATTTAAGTGAAGGACCTTTTAAATACTTGGAAACTTTCTATTCATTAAAGGTTATAGTGGAAGGTTCTTTGGTTTATTAAAATGTTCTTCTTAAACGATTGTACCGCAGTTACCATAAATGATAGGCTACCCCTGTTTTGGAACATTTATTTTTAGAAGGGTTTTTTCTCTCATTTTCTCAAAACATTTCAAATTAATTAATTAATTAAACAACCATTAAAATTGATAGGCCTAATTAAAATAGTATATATATAAAAATGATTGACTCAAATATGTGACGTAACCATCAACTAAAAAGTAGGCCTACTTAAATACTTCATCTGCAAATGAGAGTAAACAATTATTATTTACTAATATTTATATTTTTAAGATTTTATAGGGTATATGTCGAACATCACCTGACCAAACCCGGAAAACAGGTCTCATTGCTTCCGCTTGTCGGAGAACGTGTTAACAGCCGTATTAAATAATAGCGATATCTATGGACTTTTAAGATAATCAGTTAAACTAGCTAGTTGTTTTTTATTGTTGATGTTTTATTCAATTTTTATATCTAAATGTGAAAAGAATAAAAGTAAAAAACACTTTTAGATCTCAGTCCGCATATGTGGTGGACATTGGTTATGATCATCATTGGTATCTACTTTGGAGGCATCTTGAGTAAAACTTAACTACTAAGCATATGCAAAATGCTTGAACCGGAAGCAGCGAGACCCGGATAACAGAATACGGAAGTCTGTTGCGCATAACCCCTATTAGGTGAAAGTGAATGTGAAGTGACATGTGGCCAAGTATGGTGACCCATATTTGGAAACTGTGTTCTGCATTTAACCCATCCAAGCGCGCGCGCACACACACACACACACACACACACACAGTAGTGAACACACACCCGAGGCAGTGGGCAGCCATGTGCTGCGGCACCTGGGGAGCAGTTGGGGGTTCGGTGCCTTGCTCAAGGGTCTCACCTCAGTGGTGGTATTGAGGGTGGAAGAGAGCGCTGGTTATTCACTCCCCCCACTGACAATTCCTGCCCTCAAATTTTAACAGTGTGTGGAGATGCTGGGGAGCATTTCTTCTCTTCATCTCTTTAAGGCTCTTCTATCTGACCAGAACAAAACTTGCCTTTTTATGAAAAGATCAAAATATGTGATACTGTGGTATTTAAATGATCTTGACAAATAGCCATGATGAGCATCTAAAGGGGTCTTTTGTGCTTCATGTTTTTCTGTCCACATGACAGCAAAATAGATTCCTGGTTACATAAATAACTTGATTTGATGGACATTTTTTTCTCCAGATAATAATTAATTCAAACATAATTTAATTAACATTTAATAATTTTTTTTTTCTTGTTACAAATAAAACCTGTAAAAAAAAAATAAAAAAACTGTCCAAACTCGGTCCTGGAGGGCCACGGTCCTGCAGAGTTTAGCTCCAACCCTAATTAAACCAACCTGCACCAGCTAATCAAGCTCTTACTAGGCATTCTACAGACTTGCAGGCAGGTGTGTTGAGGTCAAGTTCGAGTTAAACTCTACAGGATAGTGGCCCTCCTGGACCAAGTTTGGACACCCCTGGCATTTTAATTTAAGTATTTTTGATTGTTTTGACATTTCTTTGCTTTACTCAACAGGAACTAAAGCACAAATGGAAAAAGACACATTTAAGGTGCTGCTTTCACTGATATTTATTGTCACTATTTTTGGCCTGCTCGTTTTTGTGAACATGGACAGTCATACATACATACAAGCTCCTCCAGCAATAAAAGCTCTTCTATCAAATAATACATTCAAAATCCCAAAGGCTTTATATTCAATAATGCCCATCAAAGACTCAGAGCATTTCATGGTGTCTGCGTTTATCGACCACAGACTTGATGGGGTCATTCGAGTCATCAGCATAATCAGCAGAAACCATCTTCAGCCACTTTACTGTGTTTACTGCAGCACTAAACAAGTCTGCAAAACTGTTCACACAGATGTCCAGATACACAGTGACCATTTTAGCTTCCCGTATGGTGCCTCAGATGTGATTTGTAAAGGTAAACAAATGCAAGATGCAACTCATGTCCTCATAACAACTGACAAGATAGATTCAGCCAACCTCAAAATGGAATATCTGCCAATAAAAAATAAGGTTGTACAAGAGACTTTCAAGTTTAACTTCACTGTGTGCATCTCCAACCTTTTTGGTGACTACAACAATGTACTGCAGTTTGCTCAATCAATGGAGATGTACAAGCTTCTGGGTGTACAGCATGTGGTCATCTATAAAACTAGTTGTGGGCCAGACTTGGAAAAGCTCTTAAAACATTATGAAACCGAGGGGATGCTGGAGATCGTTCCATGGCCTATCGACCAGTTTCTAAACCCATCATCAGGCTGGAACATCAAGATTCACAAGGGTGACATCCATTATTATGGTCAGTTGGTAACACTCAACGAGTGCATTTACAGGCACATGTACCAATCCAAATATGTTCTCCTGAATGACATTGATGAAATCATCATGCCTTACAAACACTCCAATTTACCATCTCTTATGGAGGACCTCCAGTCTGCTCAACCCAATATAGGGGTGTTCCTCATAGAGAACCACATATTCCCTAAAACACAGTTTGAGGAGAGTGGTAAGTTCAAACGAGCAGAATGGAATAATATTCCTGGTGTTAATATCATGGAGCACATTTACAGAGAACCTGATCGAAAGAACATTTACAATCCCACAAAGATGATTGTCAACCCAAGGAAGGTGCAGCAAACTTCAGTACATTCATCTTTGAAAAACACTGGAGGCAGTTTCCTTGTACCGTTTAATGTATGTAGGATCGTACATGTGAGAGTCCCACTGCAGGGGCATCTTACCAAAGAGCAACTCTTTGAAGACAAAAGAGTCTGGGACTTTGAGCAAGAACTGATACAGAACGTTGACCAGACTTTAAAAGGTTCTGGTCTCCTGTAGGTTTCCAGTTGACATGGTTTGTATAGGATCAATATAAATATGCAAATATAACCAACGCTGTACTTAAATTTTATATTTCCAAAACTACATTGAAAATTACATTTTCACTTAATAAAAACAGTCATAAAAATATGAATGTTGTTGCCACTAGCCCAACACCAGAGTGCTAGTCAGGTATGATGAACTGACAAATAACATGCTATTTTTGAAAATAATAATAATAAATTGGTAACTAAGATGTCAAAGCATGGGTATTTGTCAAATGATGGTAAGCCAATATTTCATGCATCAATTACAGTATTTTGTGAAAATTAGTATTACAAAAATATGCCTTGCTATACTGTAAGGATCTGATGAAAGAAAATACTCTCAAAGTACATCAAATTAAATAATTAAATCAATTTTGTAATTCAATTGTTTAGTCTTTCTGTGTGGTTTAAGGCAGTGCTTAATTTGTAAATGAAACATTGCCGGATCCAAATCAGCAGTTAAAAAGTGCCGTGACCGACACTGACAATACAACTTCAGTTTTACCGGAACATTCAATGAGGTCTCTAAACGGTGATGACACAACTATAAGAGCATTGTTCACAGGTTTCTGCATGGACCTAACTATACAGCCTAGGTTTTCCAACCCTGGGTCAAAAATGGGTCGCCAGGATGATTTAAAGCAAATATATGTAAGTTACATTAAAAATAACAAAATCTGTTTCCATAAAAATCTAAATAGAAAAGGTATAAATATGCGAAATATATCTGACATTAATAATTAACAGATATAAAACAGATGTGAGGCGCGGCGATCCGCAGACAAGTTCACGGAAAGGAAACCGAGATGACAGAACGCGCATCCTTTTTGTTTGCTTAATTACAAAAACACAAATGTTCTTTTTATTGCGAGTGCGCACAAATAAAAGTAAACATTTACATTTAGTCATTTAGCAGATGTGTTTATCCAAAGCGACTAAATGAGGACAATAGAAGCAATCAAAATCAACAAAAGAGCAATGATACGCAAGTGCTATTACAAGTCTCAGCTTAAGGTAATAGTATACGTAGCAAGTTTTTTATTATTATAGGCCTAATAAATCAAAAGAAAACAGATAGAATAGAAAAAGAATAGAGCACGCTAGTGTTAGAGGCCTTTTTTGCTTTTGTTAATTGTATAATAAATAAAAAGAAAAGAAATAGAATAGAATACAAAAAGAATAGAGAAGCTAGTGTTCGTTTTTATTTTTTTAACACTTTGCGGGCTGTCTTAATCTTATCTGTAGGACCAAAAAATTAGTATTTAATGTTGTTTAACCACATATTATAGCAATTCAACCGTGCCATCGCAGTCTGTTCATTATCAATAAAATACAGTCAGCCAAACATGTCAATTTAAAGAGTCCATAGTAGCCTATAACCGGTCTACAGCTGCTATTATGCTAAGCGCATTTTTGCAGCATGTGAAGAGGATTATTTTTTCCATGGATATGCGAACACGCATGAAGCCTACACTGCAAAAAAAAATCCAACTTACAAAAAAAAAAGTGTATTCAACTATTTAACATTAAAGGGGTCATAAGATGCGATTTAAATTTTTCCTTTCTCTTTGGAGTGTTACAAGCTCTTGGTGCATAAAGAAGATCTGTAAAGTTGCAAAGACTAAAGTCTCAAATCCAAAGAGATATTCTTTATAAAAGTTCATAGTCAGCCACACCTACCTAAAACGGCTCGTTCTAACACTACCTCACTATGTGGGAAGATTTGCATAACGCTGCCCAAATGTGCACGCAAAGAAAGAAGGC